CACAGACAACCCCGTGACAATATGCGTTTTGTACTGCTGTTACACAGCACAAAACGCATAAAAAGACGGACCAGATAGTTGAAATTGCTGAGGCCAGGAATCGTGTTCACTCCTGGTATTGCTGGAACATCTTGTGGTCCCGGAAAAGCTGGCACTGGTATTGGTGCCAAACCGGGAATTTGTCCGCTAGCAATACCTTGTAAATCGATGCGATTTTGATTTGCTTCGGGCACGACGCTATTCAGGTCACCAGTTTGAAAAGAACTGTACGGTTGTCCTGAAGGCTTGTACCTTTTTCCCGTGAAGTCAGACGATAGGCCCAACCGATTCAGAACACTATCAGCGATTTCGCTTACTTTTGCTAGTGCTATTTTATCCTGAAAGGTTGCATGAGGTGAGTAAAATCGGAAATATTTGACTAAAATCATCAAATTTGATGAGATAAAAGAGTGAGTGGCTGTACACGTCTAGGCGAGGATGCAGTTGCAAAAGGCTCTGAACTGAAAATTTTGGTGGCTTTAGTTATGGGATGTGCAAAATGAAACTCGGCCATTCAGATTTTACCAAATCTTGTTCTGTAATCTCAGGTCAGGCTGATTTAATGGTGGTGGAACCTACAGATGCGTGAGTTCCCAGCTTCTCACTCTGTCTCGAACTATTATTTAACGTTTAACTACAAGCTGATTTTGTTGAACAAAGAAGCGTTCTGAAATTTTTGTGTGTTCCATGTGTTGAGTGTGTTAAACTGCACAGGATGCATAATCAATGGGTGATGCATACACCGGGGCATTCCTTTACTGCGTGTGCGCAACAGCTTACCCCAAAAAGATTAAATCCCGCTAAGCCGCAGATATGCGGCACTATTTATTCACTACAAAATGCAGAATTTTTAGTTTGAGCATTGATATTCGGTGTGATTTTGAAGATGCATGCAATGCTGTTGGAAGTTTAATGAGTGGGAAAGCGAACCTCTTTGGTGAGAGTGATATTCTTGCCAAATGACTGAAATGAAGGAGCACTTTGCTTAGTTTCTCGACTGAACCTCGAATGGTCCGCGGCCGAAGGAGAAGCAGCATTACTTGCTGCAGCAATTTGCTGCAAAGCATCGCTTGGCCCCGACTGGGCTAAAATGTCGGAAAGCAGAAAAGTGCTAACGTAGAAGAGTAAAGTAGCACTGGATGTGGGACAACGGTATGACGAGGAAGCAGCCATTTGAGTGATCAGTGTCTACTGAATTCTTCTGAACTAGGTCAGTGGTACGTCGTCATCAAAGGCCGGTCTCTTCCTCGTCTGGCACCGACACGGACTATTACGCCCTCCATCCAAAACGGGAGCTATATCACCGGTGCATGCCCTGTTTCCAGTCCCTCAAAGTCACTTCGAGTTCCATTTCGAAGGTAACCTCCCTTCCCTTCCATCCGCATCCCCTCCCTTCGCCACTACCACTTCACACCTCTCCTTCCGACACTTATTAATCATTTTCCTCTCCTCATCATTCCACAAAGCAACAATACAGCGTTTCGGAATGGATGCACTTAATCGGTTCCTACCTTCAACTTTTTTTTAAATTTCGAGAATATCCGCTCCAAAAGAATCGGATACGGCCATTCAATGTGACCTGTTGTTGATGCGTTCGGACAGTGTCAAAATACAGTGGAGAGCTGTGTTGCTTGGATTCTGCGTATCTTATGACTAATGCTGTTGCACCGCGTTCTCCCAGACTAAAAGTTCATCGCCTACTCGATAAGGTGTCTCGTAGCGGTATAGAAGTGGTAACATTCAATAGACGCACCATGGACACCTCAAAATCGCTAAAGCCTTGACAAATACTTCTGTCAGGAGAACTGTTTAACTAAGTATTAATGACTGTTTCAAGAGAAAAATGCCATGATCGTCGGCAGGATAACATTTAAGGTGATGAAGCACCAGTCAAAATAACTGCAAAGTTGTCAACCGCACCGAGGGAGAAGCCACAGAATCGCGAACGGACAGAGTAGCCACTGAAACCACTATGCCTGATAGCAGCTTTATCTTTCTAACGCGGAAAACACAACAGTTAATATCCAAATTTAGGCGGGCCTATTCCTGACTTACCGTCTATCTAAACCCCTTTTTTGTTTCAAGATATCAAAATCATCGGAGAACCAGTTGTTTCGTGACATTATATAATTCAGTCTTCACATCATGTCTTGAGCAAATTATATGTTTGGGTGATCACGACAATTCTAACGCACTGACGCGCTGTATGGCGATGTTTTTGAGAAATGATGGAAGTAGAAATGATCTAAAACCCAGACTGCAACGCAGCAGGCCAGCCTGTGCGACCATGCGTTTTTGTGTTAAACTTGGGGATCGTTAACAGCAGAAATGGTCCCTGTGCTGCAGTTTAGCAATTGGACTGATATTGGCTATGTCTTTTCCCGCATACAGGGGCTAGGGTGAAAGTGTTGCATTTGGAGCGGCATGGACTTCCAGCGCACATGATTATCAGTTTCTTGCATGAAGCCTGGCGTTTTTCCGGTGAATGCTCTCGCTCACTGATAAAATGCAAATTTGGGAGAAATCGGGAAAGGATTATGAAATCTGCAAAATTCACTCGTGTTTGAGTATTGCGATAGAATTTAATATTTGCTGTGTGCAGGGAATTTCATCCACAAACTGTATTAAGGCCACACGTGAATATAGAATATCCTTGCAAAGTTTCATCTTCGCAGCTTGTCTGACAAGCGGAATATCCACTTCGCCACAGATACCTTTAAAGTGCCCCAAGTCGTTGTGAGAGTGCAAATCGAATCTCAGTCTAGGTGTACGATTTCCCATATGAACAATAAATATTCTGACAAAATTTCAGCTATTGTTTTCCGGCTAGTTCTCGAGTCATCGCAGTGCCAACTGCAAATTTTGACGCGACTGAATGCGTAACGTAGGCGTGTGCAATAGCTGTATTTGAAACATCCAGTTAAACATGCACAGAGATTACCTCTGAAAAAATTCAGCTTTTTTATTTGTCTGGATCACGAAAGCGTTCCTCGTCAAGGAAATTTGCATATTCATTTCGGGGGTCCGTGTGCGAAATCTAGGAATGTATGAGCGATGATTTTAAAAAGGGAGGGGTGAACATGGGATGGGAATGTGACCCCAAAATATCAGTTTCCCAGTTGTCCTGGTTGCTGAGTGGGTGACAAAGTTCACTCGATTTTGAAGACACACACACGGACGGCCTCTCGACAATATGCGTTTTTGCCCACTGCACAGCAAAAACGCACAAAAATGAAAATCATTGGCGACGCGCACCGGGCGGGCCCGTGCGATCATGCGTTTTTGCAGTATTTCGTGCTGTA